CACGTCAGATGAAGAGCTAGTTGAGAGAATCAAAGAAGTCTCGACCCAAATCTCCAACACGGCTATTGTGTCAATTGTCATGGACCGTGATGGCCAGACGAGCGAGGGTCTTGCTGGTGGAACATATCATCAACATACGAAGGAGCTCGAGTACGGCGTGCGAGCTGCTTGGAGGAACTCTCGACGCTGCATAATGCGTTCGGAGCACGAACACTTAACGCAGTGCGACCTCCGAGGAGTACAGTGCAGCCGGGAGATGGCAAGATCAGTTGTCAAAGGCATGCAGAAAGCCTTCAATCGAGGCCACATTTTACCTACAGTTTTTATGTTTCCACCTCGAGCACCAGGAAAGTGTGGCCCGATGATATGGAACTCACAAATCCTAGCGTTCGCTGGATATGAACAAGAGGATGGGTCCATCCTTGGAGACCCGGCTAATGTCGAGCTCACCAAGGGCATGAAAGAGTTCGGTTGGAAGCCTCCAATGGAAAGGTCTCGCTGGGATTTCCTTTCACTTATCACCATGGCGGAGAATGATTCCCCGTACATGATGGAACTTCCTCTTGAACTGAGAAGAACTGTGCAAAGGAACGAGACGGCCGTAATCTCGTCGACATCGTAAAATACAACCCCGGAGGTCGCTTCAGCGATATCTTCCTTTCTCAAGCCAGTATTGGAGCGCAATTGAGATTCGGTCTGACCAGTCCAGATACCTAGGGTCTGATACAATCTCAAAAGCCAAATGCGCCTCTCATCGCGATTTTCACTGGTTCGGGCATCGGAACCGTTCGTGCTCTTCTGCAAAGACGAATAATTGATTTAGGTCGAACGACAACTGGAGTCATTAGCGAAGGTTCGGAATCTCATCAACGAGCCAAAGCCGCCAATAATAATACCAATCTTGGTGTATCGAGCACACTTAGATCCGTCAGTCATTTTGCAGGATTTAAGAAGGAAGACTCAGACCTTATTGACCAAATCATTGAACCAGCGGCTCATGCTGGTATTCTGGATGTCGTCGAACTCTGCCCGAGTAATGCGAAGAAGACGAGAATTCAGGACCACATCCTTATGGAGCACGTCAAGGAGAAACTTGCGATAAAGCTCAAAGACCCCTCATGCATAGGTACGTGATTGAGATCTTGTCTAACTTCCACTGTCCCCATTGGAATGCCATATGTTTATCTGAGCACAGACTAATATTACTCTGTAGTCTTTGTCTGTGCCAACGAGCTTGCGGCCGAAGGAGCTTTCCAAAAACTATCACTTATAGCCAGTGGGGACATTAAAGAGCTCCTGCAGGAGAGATACATCGAGGATATATTCCGTGGATAGGTTACTTACCTAGATGAGGACTCTTCCTGATCCCGAGGTTCTCTCCTTTGTTTTTCTGGTGCGGCAAAATCCGGGTCGGGCGAGGGAGACATGAATTGCTGGGCGGGCTCTGAGTTGCATTAGACTTGATTCATCTTCGGAGTAAGTCCTAAATCTAACGATTGTTTAGACTGCACCTTTCAAGCAGAATTCCATCGCGTTATAGCGAATTTGTGCCAAAATTGGGAACATAATGCGTGAAATTGGCGGATACGGTACAAGAACATACAATACAAGTTACTGATAAATAGATACATTAGACATTTTTCTCGCGAGAAAACCGTGCTTTGAGGGGCCCACTGCGTACTTTCTGTATGGTACAGAGACGAAAAGCATGATACAGGTTGAGAGCTTGAGCGACTAAAGACAACAGAATTCCGCCGCGTCCGAGAGCCCAGCTATCTTCAACCTTGACTAGATGTCGCTCCGTCAGATCCATCTCGACATGTCATTCAAACCTGCCGTGCTCCCTCGCGTCACCCAAAAACGACCGATCTGACTCACCGCCTCCTGGCCCATGAATGATGTGTGGAAGTCTGTCGAGAAGTCTAAGAACTGGATCGGTATGGTCTGAATGTCGGATCGTGCTAAGCTCGAGGTCATCTGTATACCATATCGTCAGGACGGTTTGATTCCGGATGCTTAGAATACAAACTCTGACCATGATGCCTATGAAGCCGAGATCCTCGCGTCATGATCGTTGCAATTATAGCAAGCACTCCAACAGCTGTGGCGGTAATTCCAAAGACCACGGCAAGGGTATCATTTATGGACAATTTCGAAGCTGTAGCCAGAGAACAAATCAGTACGTGTCAAGCCTAGTAACAAATAGGGTGATTTTACGCATGTCATTAGAGATGTTCGGTGTGTCTTGTTGTGCTCTGGTAATCAAGATGAGAATTTTGTTCTGGCAATCGCTGACTTTGTGTCATCAAATTTGCGACATCAATTTCGTTGTCGCAAATTAGAGAACTGGAGGTATCATCGATAGAATGGCAGACTCCCCTATATATGCATTGTGAGAAGCTCAAAAAGATTTCTCACACCTTGCACACTGCACACCATGTTGTCCATCTCGACGATGGAGGCTCAATTCAGAGCCTCAACCAAAGCGAGACGAGGCAAGCCGGGGGCGTGCGGCTCCAAGATGCAATTTCGATCAGGTATAACATCTTAGACCTTGGCGAAATCTGACGAGGGAGGACATTTAAGGAAGGCGGAAGGAATGTCCAACAGCCCGTAACATAACAGTATGCCTGTTCGGTCTTTGATATCGATTATTGTTACGCTTGATGGATATCCAGATGTGCGACTCTGAGCCTTTATCCTCGAATCTGGTGTATGAGGCTCAACAACAGTCCGGTGAGGGGGGGTTGTGGCAAGGTCGATGGTGCATTTCGAGGCGAATGCCAAGGGGGCGTGTGTCAAACACGGCTCGAGAACAGGCTTCGCGCGGCTCGTTGTTGCAGTAGACACGATGAATTAAGTGCGATAGGTCGGCTTTGAGCCAATGGATAGGAGTGACAGTCCGGCTGCGCATGCAGGATGGCGGTCTTGCAGGCTTTCTACGCCCGACTGCAGTGAGGCATTTTCGGGCTTCACGTTAGAACCCTTGTTGGCCACCAGTGAGGTTTGTTTCAGGGAAGACCAAAGATATCAAATCGAGTGTTTTGAATTTGTAGAGTTGATGAGCCTTTCAGGATGAACAGGTCGAAGTATTTGTGATGGTTGGCCTATCACAGGAAGTGATGAGATGGCGATTAAGCGAGCTTGCTCCTTTTTCTCGATCACCTGATTGATGCGACAGGAAACGCCCACAACACAAACGCGGACGTAGTCTTATGGAACCGCAATTCAATTTTTGAAAACTCAGATATACCATCGTACACAACGCCATCATCAACGCTCGCTCGCTTGGCATCAACATTCAAAACAAACACCGTCCTGGACCTCTTCACCCCAATTCTCCCACTCAAGTACCGTAAAAGCTTCAGAACATCTAGCTTCGTAGGTCACATCAATCTAGCCGTCCATGGCTAGCCTCCTGAATGCGATTGTTACGATTGGGACTCGAGGAGTTGTGGCCGTGAAGGACTCCGGCAAGTACTTCGATCGGACGTAAGATGGCGTTGGGTTGGCTGAGTTGAGGGAGGAGGCGTTGAAGCAGTCTGCGCTTCGGGGTCACCTGAAATGCTAATTGTCAGTGGTGTTTGGGGAGAAGGACAAGAGGCCGGGAGAGGAAGTACCTAAGCGACCTCGGTGACCACGTTTGTCAAGCGCGGCCCAAATTGCGACAGGTACAGCGAGGATGGTGAAAATGTCGGCAATAGTGTTTAGAAAAGCTAGGTATAGTAAGTTGTCTGCTTATATCAATGGAAATGCTTGTTCTAACCCATTGCCACTGTTGAATTTTGCAGTGGATAATATGTCACGTGGGAGGTTGGCAGAGCGACTTGATGGATTTGACTGGGCTCGATGAGCGACTTCCAGTCGGTCGTCGCCAAGAGTTTGCCTACAAAGGCGAGATCGTTCTATGGAAGATTCCAAAAGATTACCAGGTAGTACCCAAGGATAGTCTGTACTTAGACATTCAGATCGCTCCGAAGTTTGTTTAGACTGTGCAATGATATTTATCTTGTTGGGTACTGTTGAATCGTACTTACCCTACCGTGCCGCCTATAGTCCAATCGCTTCCACCTCCCCATATTACTCATCCGAGTGAAGGCCCTTGAATGAGCTTGCTAGTCTCAGCGCAACCGGTGCAAGTCCAAAATGGATATAAAGATATATTTTTTTCGGATCAATAACGGCGGAGAAGTCGTCTTTATCTACGCAGCACCACCAGCGTGCCACGTTAAATATTGGCCGGACACGCCGTCTAAGACCGGACACACCTGTTTAAGGCCGGACACGCTTACATGTATCATTGCGTCACGTGATTCATTCTGCTCTGTTGGAACGAGAGCTCACGTACTTCCACCTCCGCCTTCACAAGGAAAGGACAATAGCCATTAATAAAAGATGTTCCAGTACCGGAAAACTCCCAGAGAGTCACGAGATGTTGGCCTTCTGCACCTAGTCACGCTCAAAACACAATCCAACAAACCACTCACCATTTGGGCGTTTCTGGACACCTTGGGGGTATCAATCGATACCTCGTCCTATACAGAGTAGGGTGGCTTGAGGAAGAAGGAGTCGACGTCAAGTGAAGAGAGGATAAGAATCATACAAGGAGCAAATCTAGGTTTGGAAAACAAGGTAGAAGAACATAAGCTCCCACAAGACTTGGGAAATGCAATAGTTATTACAGTAGACTGACTTGGAGTGAAATTTTGTACACGCCAAGCCCCGAGATTTGTTTCCATTGAGCAGAGATTCTTCTGAAGGAAGTATCAAATTCGAAGCTATTCCAAGCTGGTCTTAACGTATGATGATCCGAACTATCTGTCCGATGACCGCTGGAAGGTCTAGAACACTCCGTAGCCCCTCTATAACTTTTTAGCGAGAGCTGGTGGGGGAAAAGGGGATCGGAGTGGGATACAAGTGAGGGGTGCAAAAAATCAAGAAATCGTATATCAAGCTTCAACAACAATGCAAACAAACAACGTCAAAAAATGCAAAACAAATAGTTCTGCTGGGGATCGAACCCAGAACCATCTCGGAACATGTTCAACCTGTTGTGAACGAGATATCATAACTGAAAGACGGTTAGTTTGATGTTGTGCGGTGCTGATGCGCTGGAGATGACGAACCCATTAGACCACAGAACTGCTGACTTGGACATTTTGTGCTTATCTCGTTACTAAGGAGCAGTACAGCGGAGCAGAGCTAATGGACAGATAATTGTGCGGCAGGTCATGCTTTTGTGTCATGAGTGGGGAGTTGAACTTGACGGTGCGTGGGACGGATGGTCACCCGGAACTCAAGAAGTCAGCCGAACCGAGACCTTGTAAGCCCGACCAACAGATGATACCAGGGTGCTTTGGAGGAAGCAGTGGAACATAGAAAGGATCTCTGTATGCCATATAGTTCTCGGTTTTATAGAGAATTGATGCTCGCTTGAGCAGATCGTCCGTCAATATTTACTCTCTAGCAATAGCAACGAGAAGTTGAACTTCTTCTCTGGAAGCTAAAAATAGAAATGTACTGAAGATGACGAAAAGGGGCAACTGAAACGCAGCAATCAACACGAGGACAAACGAATTAATGCAATAAAGTAAACAGAACGAATAGGGGTAACCACAGCTTCTCCTGAGTCGACAAGCGAGGGTCGCATGAGGAAGGTGTTGCGTTGGTCGCTTTTACTTGAATCGGCAGCCGTTTGCCTTTGGCTGTCCAAGACATCGTGGACCTGGACCTTCAACACACCCAAGCCGAGCTTCCACCACCAAACTTGAAAAGCGACCTCAAGCTCAACACCAAAGAACCACAGCACCCCCACCACTTCCTGATAATCCCAATATCCAAATTCCTTCGCTCCGCAAGCATACACATACAAATTGAGCCGGATGGCAGGCAGATTCGTGCGCGCGTCGAAATATCGTAGGTTTCATCCGCAGACTGGGCTGGGGGGCACGAGGGCAAGCTGACAACAGGACAGGACATGTCTTTGGGAAGTCCACACGCAAGGAATCCTGCTACGACAACCTCCATATCAGTCGCAATGCGTGGGATACGAATTTAGTGAAGGTGGGAGCCCGCATGGAAGCCGTGTGCAGGAGGGCCAGAGCAGAGCTGACGACACGATTTGCAGGCAAACCCCGAATACCTTGCTGTCAATTGGGAGGCCAGTGGAGGTGGCGCGTTTGCTGTGATACCGGTGAATGAGAAGGGTAGACTGCCTGAGCAGATCCCTCTGTTTCGTGGACATACTGGGCCGGTGTTGGATACGGATTGGTGCGTGGAGTTGAGGAGATGGTTCGGGGGCTTGCGCTAACGTCTGTGATTATAGGAATCCCTTCAACGATCGCCTTATTGCATCTGCGTCCGATGATGGAAAGGTCTTTATATGGCAGGTCCCGCAAGGCTTCTCCCTCTACTCCGATGCCGAAGAGCCAACAGATGTTGCGCCCGTCAGCAAATTGACCGGACACTCGAGGTAGGTCGTAGATCTGGGGAAGCAATGCATTGAGGATAGCTTCTAATATGTTGTAGAAAGGTCGGACAGGTCCTCTTCAACCCCGCGGCAGAGAACATTCTTGCATCGGCTTCCGGCGACTACACAATCAAGCTATGGGATGTTGAGAGCGGAAAGGCGCCCTTGACATTGAAGCATGGCGATATCGTACAGAGCTTGTCATGGAGCGCGAATGGTGCCATGCTTGCCACAACCTCTAGGGACAAGAAGCTGCGAGTATGGGATGTGCGACAAGAAAGACCAGCACATGAGGTCGCAGGACACAGTGGTGCGAAGAACAGCAGAGTGGTCTGGATGGGCGAGCACAATCGTTTGGCTACTACTGGTTTCTCCAAGATGAGTGATCGCCAGATGGCTCTATGGGATGTTGGAGCTCCTGCGGAACCTCTGGGTGGATTCACTGTATTGGATTCGATCTCTGGTGTTTGCATGCCATTCTGGGGTAAGCTTTCAGGTGTTTAGAGGAGCTCATGGCTAATAATGTTCAGACGACGGAACACAATGTTTGTACTTGGCAGGCAAGGGGTAAGTCAAGCTCGTTTTCTACAAGAGGGCCTACTGATAATGGCAGTGATGGAAACATCCGATACTTCGAATACGAAAATGACAAGTTCGAATTCCTCTCCGAATACAAATCTGGAGATCCACAGAGAGGTCTGGCATTCGTTCCAAGACGTGGTATAAATGTGAGTGGATTGGCAGATTTGGGAAACACGTCTAATGATAGCTAGGTTCACGAGAACGAAGTTATGCGAGCGTACAAGACAGTCAACGACAGCTACATCGAACCAATCTCCTTCACAGTCCCACGACGAGCCGAAGTCTTTCAATCAGATATCTTCCCACCAGCAACTGGTCTCAAGCCAGCTGTTTCGGCAGCAGAGTGGCTTTCAGGAAAGGATGGCATACCAGCCAAGATCGATTTGGAGAGCGTGTATGAGGGCAAAGCACCAGTCGAGGTTGCATCGGATTACAAGCCACCAGTTCAAGCTCCAACTCCTTCGCCAGTCAAGGCCGCACCAAAGAAGGAAGAGCCAGCACCAACCCCAGTCCAGAGAGCCCCTCCACCTACCATGTCCGAACAAAAGGGATCAATCTCTGCTATGGCATCCAAATTCCAGGATGACGGAGCAGATGATGATGATGATGAGACCTCCAGCTTCGAGGAGATTGCTAAACCCATCCACAAGCATATCCCAGCCGCCGCTCGCGTAGACTCGAAGCCCGTCTCACCAATCAAGACCTCTCCGACCAAGACCGAACCCCCGAAGCCATCTCCAGTGTCCCAAGCACCACCACGTTCCTACCAAGCCCCTACTACTGCAGTCAAATCTCCCACAACTATCCCCAGTACCTCTGCTCCTTCATCATCTGTCGGATCCTCAGCAAATGGATCAGTTGAGTCGTCTCTGGCGCAGATTAAGGAGCTCCTTGAGGCTCAGACACGGACATTGAATGCTCAGAGTGAGAAGATTGTTGGGTTGACGCAGGAAGTTGATACGCTTAAGATGAGGGTTGGCAGTGGGACGCAGGATCAGAGTGAGAGGATTAGGCAGTTGGAGTTGGAGCTTGAGGCTTTGAGGTCGTAGGATCAGCATTGTGAGAGTAGAGAAAGTAGGAAAGCGATGGAAATGATGTGACGGTTACGGTGGTAGTTTGATTTATTGACCTTCGTTGAGTAGCAAGCGAATTGAGGAAGCACGAATCTTTTTTGGTGGCATCTATCGTCCCTTTTCAATGGATCGTGCGCAAGATCGGATCCTACCTTATCCCGTCTAGAATGGTCGAGCAAAGAAGCTTGATATGCCAAGTGGCACGGCATCATTGCAAAATTTCAGGGTACTCAAGCTGGTCGTGGGTTTTCCTTTCTTTATACTCTCTGGGCGCATGTCTGGCTTGGTCACGCACTTCCTTGCTATCTTATTTTCGAACCCTTCTTTTACCGTTTCCCTGCAACTTTCACAAGTGTAGAGACTTGGTTATGATGTATCGTTTCCGATTACCTCGGTGCCCGCGTTGCTCATCCTGAGCAGCGGAATAGAATGGTATGGGATACCGTATTTGGATTTCCGTGACTGCGGGAGAGCTATGTTGGCGTTGATCTAGCTATTTAGATTTAGTGATCTGATCTAGTTGATCCCTGCTTGGCAAGTAAGTCAAAGTCTATGTCTGAGTCTAAGCTGAAAAGGGTTGAACGAGCGAGAGCGAAAGTGAGAGATGCTGTGGCTGAGCTTCAGTTTCCTATTCCTGGAGCTTGTTTAGGAAACACTTACGTACCCTTGATGAGGCGTGTACCGGTGTCTTGGTATTCTAGCATCAGATATGTGTAGCCTTGACGATCTCTTGATATCTGTCTGTTAGGTGGAGTTAGGTTTCGAATCCGGCTCAACGGGCGAGATTTACGTGATTCTGGTTAGTTCTTTGTGGAGATTTGGTGAGGACTGGATGTGGGCGAGAGGTAGGCACCAATGCAGCAATGATTTTGAGATTGCTTGATAGCAAAGGTAGTCGTTGATTGAGATGTGATGAGCAAGTTGGCTTGATGAAGATAAACAAGATCACCTTTTGGAAGATGCGCTGCGAAATTCGTGGACTTGGCAACAGATCTCGAAATGGTTATAAAACTCCGTCTCCCTTCCTAAGTTCTGCTTCGAGCTTTTTACACAGCGTCCCCCCTCTCGTCTCTGCTTGCAAGTCCCCTTTCAATTCAGCACCGAAATAACGATACCGCTGTATTGCTACTTCTAACTTCAGTCTCCGATCCAACTCGAATGGTGTCAGCAAAGATGCGAGCCTGGGTTATTTATTCCGCGGTGGCTGTTTCCTCGATAGCTGCAGCGCAAGACTTCATCGTCAATGGGAACGCGAGCAATCTCGTCAGCTGTCGTGGATCGCAGTTGAGAAATGATTACTGCTGCGTACGCTCCCTCACGCTCCCTCTCCCCCTCCCCTTATACCATCAGATAGCCGTCTCTATTCACCCCTCCGACCGAGATCTTTCTTACCAGTCGTGATATCCGATATCCATCCTACCTCAACCCCAACCCCAGGACTTACTGTATAGTCAGCTCTAACACTTTCACAGTTCGATGGCACATTCTCCGGCCCAGCATGGACGTCAGATGACTCCATTACGATGATTCGAAAGTCGTTGCTTACGATCCGAGACACCGATTTCAAGCTCAAGCTTAAGAAGAGAGATATAGTGAAGGAAATGGCGCCTGGTTTGACATGTAGTGGGTTTGCGGCTATTACGCCGACGAATGGGGATGCCAGTGCGTTGTTGGCGTCAGCTACGAGTGCTGCTGATGGGGAGGGAGATGAGACGATGAGTATAAGTGAGAGTGGGGAGGCGAGCTCGACTGGTGGTGGTCAGGTATGATTGACACCTTTCTTTTCTTGGATTTTAAGTTTCGGATCTTGGGAAGGAGAGATGAAGGGATGTTTTAAGGGGCACTTGAGGTGGATGTGCTGACTTCGGTGATTGTGAATAGGCTGGTGAGACGCAACAACCGACAACGACAACGTCTTCAATGTCGGTGACTTATGCAGGAGCAGAGAGTGCGAGTGCCACTAGTTCCAGCACGAATGGTGGGGTAGTGATGGCTACGCAGATGCCGCTTTTGGTTGTTG